AAAAAAAAAAAAAAAAAAAAAAAAAAAAAAAAAAAAAAAAAAAAAAAAAAAAAAAAAAGAAAGAAAGAAAGAAAAAACGATGTAGTGGTAGAACCGTATTTTTGATTGCCTGAGCCGATAATTTCGAGGTTAAATATAGACACGCGTCGACTCTGATGTTAATACATACGTGTCAAGTATATTTATGCATGTGCCCATGCTATTCTATACTTGATGCATATTTATTATGTATACAACTGCAAATATTTTTATTTCATTAATATTAGTATGTCACGTTAAAAAATCAGTCTGGACATCAGATATTCCAGTCTGGACAAATTTCTGCATGATATTTTTTTCTATCCCATATTATTTCAATCTCATTTCTAGTTTTATCTTCCCACAAAATTAATTGATTTTATTGTTTTTTTAATATTGTCTTTCCATCGTTGTTTTGGTTTACTCTGGTTTAGTCGTTGTCTTTTTAGGTACGATCAATGTATTGGAGTGCCTCATATTTTTGTCAGAGTAAAAAGTATAACCATTTTTTGATATGAAACTAAATTCAAACGTATAGTTTGAGGGTGATCTGAGTTAATCACATGGTATATGTATATGTTGTATGCATTTTTGTATGTATGTATGTATGTATGTATGCATGTATGTATGAGTGTATGTACGTAATCAAGTTTTTCGACTAACTCAAGTAATTGTTATCCAAATGGGGTCAAATTTTATAGGTAACTTCAAGTTCAATGTCAAAGCTAATATATATTTTATTTGGACAGTTTTTATCATAGAGAAAAATGTTGTCAGCATTTTTACTATAACACTCTAAGAATAAAAAACAGGTTTCTTGGCTCTAAGTTTTAACATATACATTTTACACTTTTGTGTTCAACGACAAAGTTGTAGATCACAACAAAATACAACTTTTTTGTACCATATATTTTTATTCTGTCATGCAATGCAGATGCTCTAATGCAAACACAGAGCTGTAATGCAAAATATAGGCGTAAACAGCGAAAAAATCTTTTTTTATACAAATGGAAAAAATTTGAATTCTACAACAAAGTGCAGCTTATTCTATAGTGTAGTCTTAATGTTATAAATGGTTAAAATCATTTCAAAACGGCTAAAAACCCGTTTTACAGCACCTAAATGTTCTACATTACATTGGTAGATAAAATTTTAAGTACAAAAGTTCTGGATTTTTTTAAAATACACTTTTTTGTATTGATCATTTTTTGTTTATATTATCGTCCTTACACTTTATAAAAAGAAATCGTTTCAAATTATCCAAAAAGTCGTTTTATAGTATATAAATTTCTTACGTATCATTTGTTGATCAAACTTTTAGTACAAAACTTATAGATCTTGTTAAAATAGATTTATTTGTGCTTGGCCTTTACGTCTTCAGTGTTATCCTAACACAAGGTACAGCAAAAAGCGTTTTGAATTAGCAGACAAATTGATTTGTGATATGTAATATTATTTTATTATTTGACATTTGGTGAAAAATTATGAAATCTATTTGGACATCATATTAAACTATAAGAATGACCTGCAACTAAAATCCTATGGTTAAACTTACTTTCTGGTCTGGCAAACCTTGGATTGATCGTGCCTCAAATGCAAGACACAACGTTTTGCATACATTTAGCCAATTCTTATCGTTTCATTAAAATATTTAGTCTACACTTTTTCAAATAAGTATCATTGATAAAGTTTATCTTTGTAGATTGCATTTTGTGCCATTCGGAATTAAATTGACTCAACAACTATAAAGTAGTTAATAATAATTATGGCTAATTATTACCCACGCAACACAACTTAGAAACGAAATTTTATCAATGGTAAGATCACGATATCTTTGCTTATTCAAATTAGTTGTATGGACTGCAGACTTTTTCGAATTTACAGCTTCTTATCTTATCAATAAAGTATGAAACCTTCGTAAATGTTAGTTATCGTAAATTTCAATACCACCTGCAAATGTTAATAATTTATACTGATCTAAACAACTGGTTAAAATCGATGTATTTATCTTTTGGTATCAAAAATCTTTCTCGATAGAGAACATTAATATTCACTCTAAATATTGTGGAGTAAAGTTTTTTTTCATGACATGCGTATACAAGTAATTTAAACTACAGGCATGCATGTAGACGCACTGCTTCATGCTAATTTTTTTTCGTTACCCGTTTGCTAACTGAACTAATTAGTGATTTGAGCCTAGCTCTTCCAGCTTATATTTCTGCTGGAATTATTTTGTTATGTTTATTAAATTTTATGTACCTACTAAAAATTAATTACTTTGTTGATCACGTTTCTGTTTTAATTTTATTTCTATTGATTTTCATTAACTGTATGGTTCGCTTTTACAATATTAACATTAATTTTAACGTAAAAAATTGAAAACGATTTCATGTTTCGGTATTGAATATCACCTAATATTAATTTCATCTTCACAAATTAAAATAAACTTTTTAGTCATTAACATCGGTGTCAATGCATAAAATTCTAAAGTATTTAATATACTGTGATTAAGTTTTAATTGTCTTTCAAAAACGTTCAACGGTTACCTAAAAATTGTTTACATAACAAAAATAAATTTGTTTTTATCACATTTGGATTCAAACAAAAATAACAGATACGCATATGTATATATAAATAAGCTACTTTAAAATTTAAAGTTTTATTATGCAGTCTAAATAAAAAATGAAAGAAAAAAAATGTTTAAACATGTTAAATATTTCCAGTCAGCATATGTATTTAAGGTAAAAAAAATATTTTTTGGAAAAACACGTATTAATTGTGCTGTATGCTAACACGAGTTATCACAAGTCATCTTAATAGGTTCGTGCCACAGATCAAAAGTTAAAGCAGCTCAAAAAAAGGCAACGAAGATAGGTACAAATTACATTTATTTTAGTGAAATTCATCAAGAATCTGTGATTGATTTTGTTATTTTGATAAATTAAAAAAAAAATTTTTTTTTAGCTGTACAACTTACCGGTGGTGATAAATTAAACAAATATAATAAAAGATAATAAAACGCGACGATATTTTATTCAATTGAAAGGGTTTTATTTAATCTCAGTGGTGACTATCTAAAATTATTATCCATGCAGTGTTCGTAAAAATATTTTTCTTCAAGGTTTTAGTTGTTTTACGTTTTAATACTGCATTTTTTGAAAAACGTTAATTCATAATATTGAAACTGTACTAGAAAAAAAGGTAAAATTTATTTTTACAGATTAAATATATNTTCATGGATAGTTTTAATGTAATTATTTTTAAATTTAATAATAATATCCCAACAGTACTTGAAATGTAATAATAAAACAATAAATAATCATCCCTCATTAATTTTTACTACAATCGGAATTTTTTACATTTTATGAAAAATTTTAAATAATTATAAAACTATTTTATAAGCTACGTAATAAGACCAAAAGCTAACATTTAATGTGGCAATCACTGATACAACAATTTCTAATGCATCAAGTTTAAAAATGGTCTAATGTGTATTCTTTTTCGTAAACGTTGATAAAATAATATTTTCATTACTCTTAAGAGCTAATCTACGTAAAATAGGTCAATGAAATATTTTGACATGGTGTTCTACAATAAAGTATAATCGTAATGTTTGTTAACCTTTCACAAAAGTGCCCCAACGAAAGTTACCCAAAATTGCCCCCTCTGCCCCCTACCGCAGATATTCACCGCGCGTAAAGTGTAGCAGTAGACAGCGTGTGTTTGTCTTCTGCTTTCAGTTGTAATGGTGTGGCGTGTAGTGCGCCGTTATACCCGCATTGTTGAAGCAACGCCGGAGTGTCGTGCCGGATGGACGCGGACGATGAATTTCACAAGAAAATCAAAGCAGTGATATGTGCACGCGTTAAAATTAAGGGCTGATTGTTGGTGCGGGAGAGTGAACGTGACCCTTGGCCTAAAGGAAAATACACCACGCGATGATGCGTTGGAGGATATCAGTGCCGAAGCTGTGCAGGCTTCTATTTGCCTTCGTCGAAGTAGTCCTTGGCATTTCGGCTTCCACCCACTGGGTTGTCACTGAAAATGGTAGAATTCAGTCCATGGTACGTATTTTTGATACATTTTTTTTCTATTTTCTTCATCGTTACAGAAAAAAAAAAAAAAAAAAAAAAAAGAAAGAAAGAAAGAAAAAACGATGTAGTGGTAGAACCGTATTTTTGATTGCCTGAGCCGATAATTTCGAGGTTAAATATAGACACGCGTCGACTCTGATGTTAATACATACGTGTCAAGTATATTTATGCATGTGCCCATGCTATTCTATACTTGATGCATATTTATTATGTATACATAGTACACTGTACACTCAGCTACTAGTTTAGTTAGATTTTTTTTCTTATATTGATTTTCTTTTTTTTTTTCACCTGAACACAGTAAACAACAGTGACAGTATTATTTTTCAATAATTGAATTTTTACAGCAATAAACAGATGAATTGATATTTTTTGATCGAAAAGTTTCTGTTTCGGATTTTTTGGCTTATTTCACACAAAAAAAAATTCTTGTAAAATTTTTGGAAACTTATTAATTTTCGTCATAAGAAATTTCAAACAAGTTCAAACAAGTGCGTTTTTTAAATAATTTTCAACCACGTAAGTAGTAGTTAGCGATCACTGCATTTCTTACAATTTGCCAGAACTCAAATTTTACCCTACAGTGTGTACTTTCAGATAAAAAAAGATTTATGATCGTTTACTCTCACACACTTACGGTATTGTTGACCGACGCATAGTAATTTTTATTACCTTCACGTTCCATATAATATATACCTGTATACACCTCATATACAAGTATAGGCTTTCGTATATACTAGGTACAAAAACGACCATGCCTTGATCAACAATGCCGTACTCCTCTAGCAATAAACGATCATGAATCTTTTTTTTATCTAGAAGCATAAACCCTGTAGAGGAACATATATTATAATGCTGTACTCGACCATACGTGGTTGAAAATTAGAAAACATGCATTTTTTCAAATTTCAAGAATTTTTTACGCGATAGCTAAATTTACTAAAGTTCTACGAAAGGTCTCTTTTTATGAAAAATTAGCCAAAGGATCCAAAAAAAATTTTTTTCGTGCCAAAGATATTAATTTTTTTATGCAAATTATTAATGTATAATAATTTATGATTAAAAATGTCAAGGCAATCCTTATTATTTACCATGTGCAAGTAAATAATATATAAGTTTCAGAAGTTTTACTTGAAAAAGGCTGTTTTAAATTTTATGCTGAATCTTGCAATTATTTGACTGGAACATTCTTTTTCTTCGATGTGATTAATTAAATTTAAAACAATCAGATTGTGGCATAAAAATGAGTTGTATGCTTACAAAATTTTTGCTTGAAAATTAAGATATAATTTTACATACAAACTACAATGCATACAATTCATACATGTTATATTTAAAACTTATTTTACATTAAAAATGGACGACCTTATTTGTGCTTACGCTTATTGCTCTGAGAGAAAAATAATTCAGTTCTACAATAAATCATACACTGAACGATAAGCGTTTGTTGCGTATCCAATGTACATTAAACTTTATTATGAGCATTGAAACAACAGTAAAATTTAGTTCTATCAATTCGCAACGGATAATATTTTGACGTTTTAGAACGTATTCATGAATGTTAATTATTAAACAT